CATGAGATGAAAGTTCAAATTCCAATCGCCTCCATTACTCTTAATCATCATGAAACCCTAAGAAAACTCTTTAGTCCATTACTCCATTATCGTCTCCAAACTTTGGATTGGTGAAAGTGGAAGTCGAGTTACTTAGAATTTAAAATTTTCCAATTTATTTTGAACAATATATTTGTTGTGGTCGTGTGTTATTCAAACTTCAAACAATTTTTTACATATACCAGTATATATATATATATATACTTAAAATATCCAAGAATAAGAGAAAACATAAGAATACCTCGTAGCGGAACGAAAGAGAATTTCGAGGTGTTACAATATATATATATATATATATATATATATATATAGACTTGAATATAATAATATAAATATTTATATTTTTCTCAATTTTTGTGTTTTTAAATAAAGAATTAAAATTATAAATGTTTTCAAAAAAAATCATTATCATATTCCACTAGGTTTTTGTCTTTTAAATAATATAATGTTAATTATATTATTAAAATATTTAATATAATTAATAAATATTATTTATTTTCTTTTAAACATTTAATTTTAAGAAAATCTCATTGGTATGGAGAATAAAATATCATTTCTTTCTAAGTAATCATTTACAGAGAGAGTTTTTCAAATTTGAAGAATTTTAATCCCCTTCTCTCACATATTTTCTCTATTATGGACATTTTGAAAATCTCGAAGCAAAAACCTCTGTTTTCAAGAATCTGTAGGAGATGGTAGAACAAGAGAGATTGGAATGAAGTTTGTTGGGTATGAAAATTGGTTACGTAGAACATATATCTTGAACTACTAGAAAAGAAACCGGAGCATTGTCAAAGAGAAAACCTCAAAAAAAATGGCAACCTAGAAAGCTAAAAACAATGTTTTTTGGTGGTCGGTTGACCCTTATTAAATCTGCCACTGGTAGCCTACATTTGTACTTCTTTTCATTGTTTTGTGCGACATGCACTGTTGAGTGTCCTAAATTCCCTTGAGAGAACGAGGCATCGGTT